GGGGGGGGAGAGGGGGGTGACAGATTACAGGCAATGTTGTAGATTTGTGCTCTCCCAGAAGCTCAGACCAAGGGGAATAGGAAGGATGGGGGAAGGGGTGTGTGTGGAACAGGAGCTCATTTTGCAGATGATATTAAGCAGAAGGGGGAGGTGGGGGGGAGAGCCGCAGGTGTCTTGTGGTCTGTTACACAAAAACCACAGCTAGGGTGAGCAGTGAGGTGGGACTGCCGAGGCTGCAATTCTCAAACACCTGGAAAGCTAAAAGTTTCCTACCCCTTATTATATTGTGTGATTAACAATCCTGGTCCATGACTGATGGCTTGAGATGGGCCTCCCTTTCCTCCAATGATAGATCCCCTGTGGTAATTGATTACAGTACCTTCGTTAGCATAGCAACATAAAAAGAGCCCTGCTCGATCACACCAAAGGCCTCCCTAGTTTAAATTTCTGATCACACAGGCATCAGGTTTTCCCTTCCTCAGCCCTCCCCAGACAGTTTATTTTTTAAAAAAACACCCATTCTAACTCTAATCATCATCATTAATGATGTTTGTTACATTTATATTCTCCCTTTCCTCCAGAGGAGTCAGTATGGTGTGCATGGCTCTTCTTTCTTCATTGTCCCCACAACAGCCGTCCTGTGAGGTAGCTCCGGCTGAGAAGGAATGACCAGCCCAAGGTCACCTACTGAGTTTCAAAGCTTTCCAAGGATGAAAACCTGCGTTTTCCAAAGGCCCAGGCCCAGCATTCTCTAATCACTAGGCCATCTGGTTTCCTTAGCTTAAGGTTCCAGTGTATACTGTAAGTGAGCCAGTATCTCTACCTGAGCTTAGATAATCCTCGAGACTTGAGAAAGTTACTTTTTTGAATTGCAGTTTCCCCAGTGCTTACTTATATCCTGCACAAAGCCCTGGGACATTAATAGTGAAAGCCGATGCATGTCTGCTCAGGAGTAACTTGAGATCAGTGAGTCTTATGCCTGAGAATTACTACGAAGGCACTTCCCATATCTGGAAAACGTTCGCCATTCATTCCATTGAGCAGTGATTATAAGCTGAGTAAACTGAAGCTATGCTAGGTAAAGGAAAGGTAGCCCAGTCAGTCCCCATCCGTGGTTGGATTCCTCTCACTCTGGGATGAAAACAAGATGAGTGGGGAGTCAAGGAATGTTTTTAGGCATATGGAAGTACAAGTGTTTGGACTTTTAAAAGAAAATATTGTCCTCAAGAGAAACCCTGTGGGGCTGCCAAAGGAGATCTGGGTGGGCAAATGTGGCCTGTGAGGGCCCACACTCTGTGGGCCCCCCTCGGATGCTCCAGCTCTTCCCAGGTCAGAAAAGCTTTTCAGGAAGGGGGGGAAAAGATGTTATCATTTGCTGCTGGGAGACCTTCAGTGGAGCTTTTTTGCATTAAAGAATATAGACATCTTCAGCCTAGACTGCCCCTCCTCAACCCAAACCAGCGGCGAATGTTTAGGTAGAGAGGGCCATTTTGGGGCCTAGCACAGTCCATGGCAAGCACTAGGGGACAATTGACACACTTGAGGGGCTGGTTGCCATTTTGTTATTATTTACATTTAATGTTTGGTTTTGTTGAACCATCCAGAGTAGTGCTTTTGCACTAATGGGGCAGCATACAAATGTTTTGTGAGCCACCCAGAGTAGACATAGTCTACTCTGGGTGGCATATAAGATAAATAAATGAATAAATGTAAGAAAGAAAGTGAAGCAAAATGCTGTCTCCATCAGCATGCGAACGTTGCCCATCCTAATCTAGAGAAGATGGAAGAGGAACTCATCTCATGGTCTGTAGAGGAGACGTCTGGGCTCAGAATGAACACCAGAAGGACAAGAACGCCTGATTTTACTGCTGGCCTGTCATTTGGCTGCTGGGGGAGATGGGGCACCAGATGCTGCCCGGACAGTGGTCCAGTACAGTTCTCCTATGGGCAGATATCCCTTGCATGGGAGGATGGGCAGGGTTACAGGTGATAAGAAATAAATGGAAAATTTAGAAGATCCATTTGGCTTAAGAGCTCTTAAGGGTATTCATTTGGGCCTGTGGCTGGAAGCAGTGGCATTATGACATAGAATGCGGACATCACAGGCTTTTATAGTAGATATTTAGGATGGCATAGGAAGATTAGAATTGAGACTTACATTATGTAATTTTTAAAAAAAACATGCCTCTCTTCCTAGTGGGTCTTCACACATTTCAAGAGGAATGAAGAGGGATCCGTGCTCCTGTTTCTGTGTGCTAGAGAGGGCAATAAAATGTATTGGCATTGAAATTCTCCCCTCCGTCTTCCTACAGGTCCGGCAACCAAGCCCAACTCTAAAGCCTGTAGTGTGAGGGTAGACCCTGTGGGCCCCTTCAGATAGTGCTGGACAATTCTCAGCAAGGGTTGATGGGAGTTGCAGTCCAGCAACATCTGGAGGGCTATCCTTTTGCTTTAGGGGTACTGTATATGGATAGTCCAGCAGTGAAAAATGGGGGCGGGGAACTATCTTTTCCCTCCACTCTTCCATCTCGTCAGCATCCCCCACAGAGATGTCTGGGCAGCAGCTCTAGCTGGTTCCAGACTAGAGAGTTGCGCCTGCGTGTATGTGCGTGTGCATGCGCACATGCGTTCGCAGAGTACAGTTCAGAATTTATTCACCCCTGTCCCTACCACCCCTCTTGAACACTGTCTTGAGTGTTTGGACACATGATGTCAAGGATAAGAAGAGAAAATTGCAGTGTGTGGGTTTTTCTTTAAATGAAAGATTTCATGGCATCGGACCGGCTCTGTCTAGACAAGCAACCTACACTCTTCCCTCATTCAGCCTATGCTTCTTTTATGCCTTCTTATTCAGTTCTGATGGGACCTTGGGTTTCAATGTGAACACACAGATGGCCTGGGAGGAAATAAAAGGCCACTGGCAGTCCTTTTCATCTTCCTTTTGATCCTACCCCATCTCCTTTTTTATTCCCCCCCCCCCCCCCACGAGCCCNTTTCCAGTCTCCTTCTAAGCAAGGGACAGAACATTTCCCTGGCTTCATTAGTCACCGTTATGGCACCTTCAGATAGGCCAGTTGAATCCCCCTCCCCCCCATTTAAAATCCATTGAATGTGGAAGGTTCTTGCCTTCTTATAAAACTAAGTTGTCCTCTCAGAATTCATTCCTGTAACCGTGTTTTTGTCAGTATAGTGTTGTTGGTTGAACACCTCTCTGAGTACAGTACTCTAGAAAATTCTGGAAACAGCCACCGTAAGTTGGAACAGATATCACAGCACGTAATTAAATGTTATTTATTCCAGAACTTGGAGAAATTGACTCTCTTTTTTTGGGACAACAAGCTCCAGAATCCCCGAGCCTCTGAATATTTGGGAGGTACAAGCAGAAGGAGAAAACTCACCGTTCTGAATGGTCTTTTACATCTGCAGTGAGTACACAAAATGTTTTAACATGTTTGTTGGGCAGGAGGTCTAGGAGAGAGCAGGCTAGCATTGTGAAGTCAGGAAAATGGGAAATGGCAAAACTGCTCCAAGTTAAAATATACATGGTTGTTGCCAGAGGTGGGGAACATTTGCTTGTGGACTACAACTCCCAGAATTCTACAAACAGCACGGATTATGGGATTCGCAGTACAAAAATCTAATATTTCCCCAACTCAGTGCCTCTGAGGAGCTCACATTTCTTTTCATGAGAGATGGGTGGGAGAAACAGCTTCAGTGGCTGGTGGTCTTGCTGAGACCTCAACAGCAAACTGTTTGCTTGGAATAATGGTTGCATTATATCATGCCCCATTTGCCTGGTTGTGTTTGCCTGGCACCTTCCATAGTCAAAAATCTAATCATCTCCCGTTGTGGCCCAAGATACCCAGAAGGCACTAGATGTTGGGGAACTCAAGCAGTGGGGAAGGCTGGTTTAAATCCTTGGTATTTGTGCTTTTCATGAAGTTGCCTCTAGGACAGGGATCTCAAACCTATGGCACGTGTGCCACAGTTGGCACACAGAGCCCTTTCTGTGATCACACGAGCCGTAAGTCGCCGGATCACTACTCCCCTCCCCCCCCCCCCCCGCAGCCAAACCTCAGGAGGTGGCTGTAGCCGCGGATACGGAGCAGTTGTAGCTGGCAGTGGATCCAGAGTGGGGTCTCAAGGGGATTCCCCCTTCTGCTGCCACTTCCGGTTCCACCGCCACCACTTCTGGTTCTGCCGCGGCAGCGGCCCGCCACCTGCTGGGTTGTTGTTGTTGTTTTTCAGTGTGAGCACTGAGGCCCAGAAAGGTTTGCCGCCACTGCTCTAGGATCTTAACATCCCCCTCTTTGGAAGATGTAGGCAAGCAAGTGGAGGAACCCCCTCATCCTCTAGGCTTTGATTTAGTTGCCACTTTTCTGGGGACGTGGTGGCGCTGCGGGTTAAACCGCAGAAGCCTCTGTGCTGCAGGGTCAGAAGACCTGCAGTCGTAAGATTGAATCCATGTAACGGAGTGAGCTTCCGTCACTTGTCCCAGCTCCTGCCAACCTAGCGGTTCGAAAGCATGCATAATGCAAGTAGATAAAATAGGTACTACCACAGTGGGAAGGTAACGGCGTTTTGTGTCTAGTCGCGCTGGCCACGTGACCACAGAAGATTGTCTTCGGACAAATGCTGGCTCTGTGGGTTGGAAACGGAGATGAGCACCAGCCCCTAGAGTTGGACATGACTGGACAAATTATCAAGGGGAACCTTTATCTTTACCTTTTCTGACAGAAGTGCTGAGCAGCTGGGTTGGAGGCTCAACCTGCAAGGATATAGATGGCTTTAATTCTACTCTGAAAGTCTCCAAAGCTAAGAATCTTTCCTTGAGTGGCTGCCATAATGACCTTTAATCTCAGAGTGCATAAACAGACAAGATAGCAGCTTCGCCATTGAAGGCAGAGCTGCCTTTAGAGGTAAAGGACAATTGATTGTCCTCTCATGAAGGAAATTCACATGTTTCTGGGTTTTGTTTGGTGATTGGTCATTGGGAGCTAAACACTGAGCATTATTTGGTTGTTGATTGTGAAGAGCCCATTGTCTCTATGGAGAATACGTTTTACCATCTTCTGTCTGTAAAATATGTGTTTAGCACATTTTGCATTATACGTATGCATGTTTTGCATTCAGCACAGTGTAGCGTTGTCCAAAATGGCCATCTCCATTCACAGCCGAAAGTTGCTTAGAAGCAGTGAACGGCAGTAGCTGCTTTCGGGCTCCTGGCTGGCTGGACTGAATTTGGTTCAGGCAAATGGGGCTTGAATACAGGAGTGACAACCTCCACTCAAAACATTAACCGTGTGTGGCACACAACTAAACATTCCTATCTTTCTTACTCACATATAATCCATATAGGCCCAATCTGGATTTGGCCTGCTGTATGTGAGTAGGGGGTGTAAAACTTGGAGCCAATGGAGTTTATCTTTCTTCAGCCCCCTGTGCGGGGGATTAATTTAAAGGGAGAATAATCAGGGGCAGAATTAATTAACACCCCCTCTTGACATAAACACCTGCACGAGGTCCTCCCGATCTGCCTCAGGTTCTTGTGTGCCTATTTGCATATTTTTAAAAGGAAAGGGATTTTTGTTTTCTGAGACACCTTTAAAGGAGGGTTGGACAAATTAATGGAGGATTGAAGTATCGTGGTGGCTGGTCAGGAGGGCTATGCAGTGGCTCCAGGATGCATCTTAGTACAGTACCGTTTGCTGGGGGACACAAGCAGGAGGGTGCTATTGCTTTCCTATTCTGCTTGTGGGCCTCGGGCTGGCCGATCTGAGAAGTCGGAGGCTAGACCGCTTAGGCCTGTGATCCAGCCGTAGACTCCTGCTGGCTGATCATTCCTCCGTGATACTCCACGCCATTCCTGATGATCCTGTTCTGTTTCGGTTTTCTCCATCAGTCGGTTAGCATTCTGTGAAGATTGAGCTCAGACAGTCTTTACTGGGATGTCTAGCCTTCCCAGCCCTCGATGGTTTTTGCTCTTCTGCCATATCTTTGTGTTTCCTCCGTGTCTGCTGCTACCTTTGTCTTTGCAACCAAAGCAACAATGGTCCCTCTGGATCATCAGAAGTCGAAGCAAAGATGGGTAGGCAGGAGAAAGTGTGGCAGCAAGTACCAGACCAAAAGTCAGACTGTCAGTGTTTCCTCTCCTGATAGGGCTCAATCTCTCCCTCTACATCAGAGGCATTCCGATCAAGGCTCAGCAGTGGAGCATAGTGTTGCCATATTTAAAGTTAGTACCTAGCATCTTCCAGACAAAGGGACAAAAACCTCTCCACAAGACTAGAGGTGGGAAAGGCCACTTCTCATACAATAACTCCCAGAATGTCCCAGCTAGCAAGGCTATCCACCCTTTGCACTGGGTCTCTTTCGATTGTGAGCAAAGGCAGCCATTTTTTAAACTGAGTTTGTGGAAGTTGGGTGGGTTAGATATCTAGCTCGGTGGGTTAGATATCTAGCTGCAGACCCAGTGGTTGTGGGTTCAGTTCCTCACTGGAGAGGAGAAGAGCCAGCCTGTGTGGCCTTGGGCAAGCTGCCCAGTCCCAGAGTGCCCCCCAGAAGAAGGGAATGCTTCTGAGTATTCTCTACCTAGAAAACCCTGGAAGGGGTTGCCATAAATTAAAATTGATTTCATGGTGCATAATTCTTATTTTTATGGAAGCTGCTCCAGAAGACTTTCTGGCTGAACAACTGGATTAAAAAAAATACTTCCTATAAATAGAAGTGGAGCATTAGCCCAAAGGCTAAGCAGTGGTGTTGCTCATGAAGTAAAACAATAGCTTGATGGCTTGAGCATCTACAAGGAGTTTGGAGAAATCCTTCCTCTTGCTGATGACTTTGTCTGGGATCTGGAGAATTGCCACTGCCATCTGCTGGTCAAGCCGGGTTATGCAGGCTGTCCAAAGGCTGGTCTCTAAGCGCTGTTCCATGCAGTTTTACGGGTTCCTGGTGTTCTGAGGTTGCTCTGGGTCTTTATGGATCTTTTTGTTGCAGGTTTGAATAGATCATCCCAGTGCTTGAATCACACAGTATTTGTTTTCATTGCATGGATTCTCCACAGAGCTTTCTAAATTTATTTATTGCTTTTGCACTATAGCATTTAATTGTACTACAGCAGGTGTACACCCAGAAACTCTGGCCAGTACATCTAGTAGTGAAGACTTCTGGGAATTGCAGTGCAAGAAAACCTGGGCTACCCAAAGTTGGAAACTATTACACCACATTAGTGTAGAGGAAGCTGGAGAATATAGCTGTTTATCATCTCTTCCCTAGTCTTGTTGGCAACTAAAAGATTGCATTTCCACTATCTGAAGATCTTTCATTAAAGCTTGGTGAGTGCTTAATTACTTACCAAGACAAAATTAGTCTCTAATGCTTTTCATTACAGCAGGCATAGCCTGGAACGGTGTGTTGTTCTTAGGTAAACCCATTTCTCTGCAAAATAGCACAAGAATTGAGATCTCCTCCAGCAGCATATTTCAAACAAATAAATTTGTTTTTCCTATCAGCTTTCTTTTCTGTCCAGCTTTCACACCCATACATGGTGGTCGAGTACACAAAAGTGTGGATGATTTTGGCCTTGATCTGCAGTGACACTTCCTTACACTTGATCTTTTCCAATTTCTTCATTGCTGCCCTTCTGAGTCTTAGTATTCTGATTTCTTAGCTGTAGTATCCATTTGGATTGATGACTGACAAGGTATACTCATTCTTTCGCTCTTTCAGTATCTTCAATGTCAACATTAAAGTTGTGCAGTTCTGCACAAGTCAAGATTTTTGTCTTCTTGATGTTCAACTGCTGTCCTGGTTAGGCACTTTCTTCTTTCACTTTCATCGGAAGTCATTTCAAGTCATAGCTCCTTTCTTCCATAAGGATGGTATGGTCTGCATATCTTAAATTGTCCATGTTTCTTCCACCAGTTTTCAGTTCCCCTTCGTCTGAATCTAGTCCTGCTTTCCATATGATATGTTCTGTGTCCAGACTGAACAGATAAGAGGATAAAATGCAGCTTTGTCTGACACCTTTGCCTCTAGGAAACCATTGTGTCTCTCCATATTCTGTCTCAGTAGTAGCTTCCTGTCTACAATACAGGTCACGCATGAGGACAGTCAAGTGTTGAAGCACCCCCATTTATTTCTGAACAATGTGTAGCTTCTCATGAACCACACAGTCAATGACTTTGCTGTGGTCTATAAAGTACAGACTAATCTTCTTCTGAAATTTTTTGGTGCACACCAGTAGTGGTTTACCATTGCCTTCTACTGCATAGTACTAACAAGAGTTAGCTTGAGTGTCATTACCATTGTCTGTGAAAGCTCCTTCACCTGTGTCACCTTCCACTACTGCTGCTGCCAGTAGTTGCCTTTCAGGAGTGCCCCCCATTACCACTGGAACCATCCATTCTTTTCTACTCATGTGGCTGTTATTTCCTGAAGAGAATGAATGTGTTTTATTCTGATGTCTCAGGTGTGACCACTCTGCCTTGGGTGACCCTCCTAGAAGTCCATGTTTGTAATAGAGTCTGGCTCTTGATGGCATTGCCCTCAACGTCTCTGACATACTCAACCCCTCTCACCATGTTGAGGTGCGCATCCACAAGAGCCAGAGAATGCAAAAGATAAAGAAAGATAAAACACAGAAGTTTCTGATGATCTGATTTCTATTCTCTTTTTTTTAAAAAATGAGTCAAAGACTTGCGTAAAAACAAGTCATGTGTATATAAACAATATGTAAACAAGTATCTATGTGTAGCTGTCAACAATAACAAACAATTTGCTAAATAAACAATAACATACAGTAAAACACTTGAACAAGAAGTATCAAAAACTACCACGTCTTTCAATTTCAAGGTTTTTCTCATACAATATGTATGCATTCAAGTTATTCTGAGTAATTTTTTAAACAAGATGGGGGGGGAAGCTTACCCCGAGTCATCAACAGAAGAACTAACATTCTGTATTTTTAGGTCTCCCTCTGTCCTGTTGATGAGCTCCGATATTTCTGTCAGTTCCTTTCACAATCAATCCCTGGATGGTATATTGTTGCCCCCCACCCCCAAAAATGCACACTGTAAAATTTCTAGTTGAAAACTGCCTGCAGCAAGTTTTTAAACCTTTGGTCTACTCTAGTTAATGTTTTAATGTAAAACATGCCAACAGCATTAAAACAGAGAGCAACAGTTCTCTTTGTTGCTGAAAAGAACGCTGAACAAGTACAGACCCTAACTGGCCACTCCACTTCATACAGTGGTGCCTCGCTTAACGACGTTAAGCGAAAACATTGTAAGTGATGGGAATGGTCAGTTCTGGATTTAATCCTATATAACAGTAGCTCTCATCTATCCTTCCTGAGTGATTGATATTTGGCCAAGTCCCTTCTCAATGTAAGATCCGGGAATAGGGTAATCATTTTCTAATATGTGGGAGATGATGACTATCATATAATAAAAATGTTTGATACCTGTTTTCCAAAAACCCACCTCAAAATCCAGAAATTTAGTCTTAAATTTATTGTGATTCCTATTACAAAGGGACTGCTTCAAGGTCTGTCCAAAGTAAAATCATCATTATCATCATCATCAAGATACAGTTTATATATACACCTTAATATACATTATTTCCCTATAAAATAAATAAGCCTTTCAAAATGATTCAGATAGGAACTGGTTAGTTCTGGTGCAAACTTTAATTCCACAGCTGTTCCAGAAACGTGGGCTGGGAGGTGTCAAAACATGATGGCCCCCTTCACTAGAGGACAGAGACGCTGTTTGGGGCATTAAAACTTCTGGCCTGTCTAGATCCTATGGTGGGAACACGGGAGAGGGCCTTCTCTGTGCCTGCTCCCAGACTCTGGAACTCCCTCCCACAGGAGGCCAGGCTGTTTCCCCATCTTTGTTGTCCTTCTGCAAGCAAGCAAAGACCTTTCTGTTTAGGCAGGTGTTTCCTTAGTGACCAACTGTCTAGGAGACAGGGTGGATTCCAATTTAAATCACAATTTAACTTCTTTAAAAATCAGATTTATTTTTATCCACCTGCTAAGAGACTGTGGTTTATATTTTGTTGTTTCTAAATCTGTTTTTGTAATGCTTTTACCTTACATTTTTAATATAATATTATTAGTTGTTCTTTAACGTTTGAATAATTCACTGTTTCTAGCTTTTAATAATGTGCTTTTAATGACGCAAGCTCCTTTGGGTCATTTTTTAGGAGAAAGGAGGTGGGGAGGAAATGTTTTTAATAAAACAAAACAGAGTAGAACACATTGAAGATCTTTTGTTAAGCTTAACAGTTTTTCAAAGTTGGCCATCTAACTAGGGGATTCTGGGATTTGTAGTCTAGAAATTCCCTCCTCTTCTCCATTCTAGGTACTGTACTCCTTACCAGATAGGAAGTCTGTTCCTGTGATGCTGCTCAGTGGCAACATTTCTTGGATGGCCTTGTCTGAAAAAGTGTATATATATATGGCAAGAGTTCCTCTGTGTACTTCCTTTGGCAACATTTCTTGGATGGCCTTGTCTGAAAAAGAGCTGGAAGATATATATATATATATTTGGCAAGAGTTCCTCTGTGTACTTCCTCTTTTGCCGCTGGGGGAGCAAACCAGGTGGAGAACAGGTGGCGCCCCTTTGGCTGAGCAGCTTCAGAGTGCTATTTATTTGATGGAAGAGATGGTGGTTGTGATGATAATGGGCGATGCATGTACTGTAATCTGTCTCTCTCTCTCTCTGCAGATTGTTCTTCTGTCTCCCTTGCCAGCCTTTCTGTCTGGCTGTCTGATTCATGGAAAATCCCCGCCTGAAGAACTGGCAGAAGTTCCATTGCTGGAATGCCTTGAAAAATGAAACTACGCTGTACTGTAGAGACAGCTCAAGACTTCCACATCATCCCTCTCCTGCTGCTCATTTCCATGTTCATCTTCTGTATGGCACTTAGTGGTATCATGGTAAATTTGAAGATCCCCATCATTACAGTCTCCACAGCTGATGGTGCCCCCATTTCCCATAAGAAAAGTCTTAAAATGCAGGCAGTTGAATTGGATCAACAAATAGGGAATAGATATTTTGTAAAGGTAATAGCTTTTAATTGCCCATTCAGGGTGAAATCACATTCAAATACTTTGCATTTCAACAGGAACAGCCTGCACCTGTATATTGTTCCTGTGCAAATCATTTTCTTTCCCAGTTGCTGTGAGAATTGCAGTAAACTCCCAAGCAAGCAGAGAAGCCTAAAGTGGGGGTGGGTTGGGTGAGTAGTGGATGATGCCATCACAGAAAATCTTAGGGCTTTGATCCTACAAGTCCTGGCTCCTATACATCACAGATGGTCGTATAAAATTATGCAAAGCATGTATTTTTGCCAATAAGCTCTGCTTCCTTATGCCAGGTTCTCCACCCCATTCCTATTCTCATTGGGAAACACAAGCCAGGGAGAAACCTGTGCAACCCCAGGTGGAAAATAACAGAGGCATTCTCCATGCCTCTCTCTGCATGGAGAAGGGGAAATAAAGGAAAGGGGTGTGGCCAAATGAAGAAGATAAATGGGTAAAACTTGGTAGACACACACAGAGAGAGGACTAAATCTGAAATGACTGGAAGTCTACTTCTGGTTTTGCAAAATGTGTATTTTTTTTTTACAGTGTTAAATTATTGGAGTGGGGTGATTGGCGTGTTGCAACCTATTTAAATGGTGAATTACTGCTCCTGTAACAATAGTACATTTTTTTTTACTGGCAGTGAAGTTAGGTCTACAAAAACAGCCTTAAGGACGTGCCTGTGGCCCCAGAGCCATAAATTGAGCCGCCTTACCTTGTCAGCCGCCCAGAATGGTGCTCTGTCACTGGATGGGTAGGATAAAAATGCAGTCAATGAAGATCATTCAGGTCAAGCACTTAGATATAATTGCCTCCTACTGGTCAAAATGCAAAAGAGTCAATTTCTGGATTCGATTGGAAGCATGGATCCAAAATCTTTAATGAAGGGGCAAGTGGGAGATAACATGTTCAACTGTTGTCCAAAAAACTAACATTTCCAAGCTTTGTGTTCCAGGTTTCAGATGAGTCAGATGCTGTATTTGATGAGAAATGACAGAAACAACTCAGGGAAAACAAGGGGGGAGGGGATTAAAGGACAACAGCATTCAAATATTTTCCAGAAGAGAATGAAGGTGCCATAGCAATTTTGCACTTAAATCGCTAGTTATGGAAGGAAGGCATGTTAGCTACTAATCCCAACTACTTCTTCTTCTTCTTCTTCTTCTTCTTCTTCTTCTTCTTCTTCTTCTTATTCTTATTCTTATTCTTCTTCTTATTATTATTATTATTATTATTATTAGTGTTGCTGTTTACAGAATACAGTGGTGCCTCGCTTAACAATGATAATTGGTTCCCCAAAAACCGCTGTTCAGCGATTTCATCGCTAAGCGAAACACGGTTCCCCAATTGAAATGCATTGAAACCTATTCAATGCATCTCAATGGGGGGGGGGGAATTACAACAAATTTTAAAAGAGTCGGAACAAAGTCAGATAAGTTTAACAAAGGGTTTATTAAGTGCATTTATGATTTCAAGCATTCTAAACATTTTTAAAACATTTTTAAACATTTTTTAAAAAGCCAACAGGAGGCTGTCAAAACCATCGTTAAGCGAAACAGGGGGACCCAAACTGTCATCGCTTTGCGAAGCATGGTCCCAAACATTGCTATGCGAAAATCGCCCATAGGAACCATAGTTAAACGGAGCGCAAGATTGCTCCGAAAAAGTCATCGCTAAGCAATTTCATCGTTAAACGAAGCAATCGCTAAGCGAGGCACCACTGTATTCTATGTTTTTGCCCTTTGATAGTTAAGAGTTATCTGTAAGGAGATAAAAACAGGAAGGTCACTAAGCTCCTGAAATGGTTGATCATTCCTTTCTTCTTCATGGGGGCACTTATGGGATTGTGCTCCTTGCCCAAGGCTACACAGAAGCACAGAAAAAGGAGATTCTTTTCCCATGACAGAACCAGCAGAAGGATTCTAGATGTCCGTTTGATCTGTTTCTAGCTGTCAGCTGTTCACACCTGCCATTTTTTAAATTATTATCCACAAAATCTTGTTGTGTCCAGGAAACTGATGGCGACACACTATTTAAAGAGGAGAGGTGGAGGGCAGGATTTTTGTTTTATCTGTTCCAGTTTATGGGACTATGTAGTCCCTGTTTCTGTAAGAAAGGAAGTAAAGGAGAAAACAGCTTCCTGAGATGGTCTCTGAGCCAGCCTTTCTCGTCCCTGATGACGTCACAGTGTCAGGGCAGATCCGTCCCTCTTGCCACCCTGCTTGCTTTGTTGCATGAACTCAGCCTGTTCTTCTCCACTTTGTTCTGCCCTGGGCACTACTTATGAACCACATTTCAAACCTGTTTTTTTCTCCTATTTTGTCAAGAGGATGTTCTCCTCTTCCCAGTATTACCCTGATGCCACAGTGCTGTGAAGTCGGAAAGGCTAAGAAGGGAGTAACTGGCCTAGGGTCTCCCTGGGAATGCAGGATAACTGTGGGATTTGAGGCTGGGTCTCCCAAAGGGCAGCCCAACCCTCCTAGACCCTACAGCCCAATAGCTTCCGATCCATTTGTATCCCACGCTTTCCTTTCTGGCACACAGTATTGCCCCATTTCATATGGGATGATTCTTGTTGATCTGTAAAACAGATTAGGCTGAGAGAAAAGCCCCTGACCCGAGATTATTTAGTGAACTGAACCGGCTCACTTTTAAGCCAGCCAGGCCAATACGGTGCCCATTGGACTACACTACCTTCCCCAGCGGGGTGCTAACAACCTTCAGCAAGGCAGGACCAACACACCTGACTTTGGCGCTCGTGCTCCATCGTCTTCCTTGCTAGGCTGTAACCAACACAATTGAAATAGAACTTACCGTATGACCTGATTCACAAACTGTTGGGTGACCGTGATCCAGAAGGGGCCATATTTGTGGCCAGAAGAGCGAGTGGCTCCTTACATTCGCTGTCTGTCCCATGGAAGCAGCCAACTAGCTGCCTTTGTAGCCTCTGTAACTGGAAGTAGCAAAAGGCTTCCCGCCAATGCTGCTTAAAGGTGAAGGTGGTGGTAAAATAGTGATTCCCCTGCTTGGTGGGGTGGGAGAGAGGGTTTCTCCTTTTGTTTCTTGCAGATCTCCTGTGTGGCTTTAAGAGCTCTGTGGCAAGGAGAAATTCCACAGCAGGGGAAGAAGCCCTTTGCCACTTCTGCATTTCCTTGTTGGGCTGTTACTTTTGACCTTTCCTTCCATTCACCCAAATTCCACCAGAAAACAGGATGAGCAGAGGAGTTTTCCCCATTTGCAAAGCAACAAAGGCAGCAGAGTGAAACGAGGGCATATTAATGCTGCCCAGTGTGGTCTTGTTCGCTCTCACCACAACCATAAGAGTACGTGGCATCGTTTTAATTCCGCTTTGTGCATGGGCTTTGAGGTTCAGAGAAGCCTCATTGCCCAGTGTGGTCTTGTTCGCTCTCACCATAGGAGTACGTGGCATCGTTTTAATTCCACTTTGTGCATGGGCTTTGAGGTTCAGAGAGCCTCAAGGCATCACATACGTCGGCCTTCTCTGGCCTGCCACCCTCCAGATGTGTTGACCTACAACCCCTGTCGTCTTCACTTAGCATTTTCTTGTGTGACTGGGGACCGTGTGAATTGTGGTCCAACACATTTAGGTGGTTCCTCACCACAACAGTATATTTTTAAAAAATTGGTAACCATTTTAACATCTCTCTCCTTTTCTCTCTCACATACATTCAGACGTCCACAAAAGGCAAAAAAAAGAGGGTCTCGTGGAACATTCAACGCTGTCGGTGAGTTTTGTCAATGAGGTCAAACCATCGACTGTTGAGTGTACCTTGTGGCCTCTACAGACGCTGGAAGAGGAGAATGATTCGTAAGAGGACACCCGTGCTGACTGGGCTGAGGAAGATGCAAAGGAGAGGTTTCCCACAACATGTGCTCAGCCTGTGGAGTGTCCAAAGGGATCAGTGCATGAGATACCCATGCCAGGAAACAAAAGGGATTGGGTGATTGTTCTCTCCTACTTTGCACAATGGAGTTCTCATTAGAGATGGGGGTATTCGTATACAAATACAAATACCCCCCACACAGCTGGAGTTAACGAGGGTCCGCCCCCTGGGGCCAGACTGTCCATTCACATATCTGGTGGTGGTGACCTCACTCATCCTTCCAATCACTCCCGGAGCCCTGCTGTCCTAGTCAGTCCAGGCAAGGGAAGGGAGGACGAGTCTCCCTGTACAGCTGCTGAGTTGCTCGCCGAGCAGAAAGAGAGCAGGGCTCCGGGAGTGATTGGAAAGGTGAGTGAGGTCACCTCGCCACTGGATGTGTGAGTGGACAGTCCGGCCCTAGGGGGTGGACCCACGTTAACTCCAGCTGTGGGGGGGGTATTCGTATTTGTATACAAATACCCCCCTCTCTAGTTCTCATTCAAGTTGCTTTGCAATGGACAGGTAAAACTCCAAAGGAGAGGACAGTCGTGAGTATCGCAAAAGCCACCTGAGTTCATTGAGAGTGGATAGACTGCTAATTGTCATGACATTGTTTGCTCTTTTTGCCTTCTGCATGAACACTGGCCCAGATGCATACTGGCACTATTAAGGCCATGGTATCTATGGTCATCTAGATTTTTGTAGAGAAGAGGTCATCAACCACTTGTCCGCGGCCCAGTCCGTAGCCTGAGGGGGGCTTAGGCCGCGAAGAAAGACCTCCCGCTCCCCCTGCATGCACTCCTCCCCCACAGCTGCTTTGCGCACGCATGGGCGTGCCAGCGCCCGCGTGAGCGCTGCCCCACCCCTTCACGCATACGCTCGAGTGCTTGCATGAAGGGGTGGGGGGCATGCAGGCACTCCGGCGCATGCGCGCTCCCACCCTTTCGCGCATGCACCCAACAGAGCGTGCACGCTCCTTCATGTGTGCACACGAGGGTGGGGGCGTGCCGCGTCTTCCTCAGCCGGTCAGCAGTCCTAAAAAGGTTGGGGACTGCTACTATAGAGTATACATTTACAAACCAAACTGGCTGAAGAAGGAATTACAAAGTTGCCACGGTGTGTAGAGGTATTCTGAGAGCAGTGGGTTTTTTAAAAAAAGGTCTGCCAAGCTATGACATAGGTACAGTATGTTGTTCCCCTGTGCAGCTTTGGGTCTTAGCTTCTTTCCTACATCCTGGGGTATTTTAGGCTCCCCTCTGCCTCAACCTTTGTGGAATGATGTAGTGTTGCCTCTCCGGTCTTCTGGACACAAACAACAAAGAATATTCTGATACCTTAAAAGCTAAGTCAGCTGTATAAAAAGGCATGGGGTGTGTGTGTGTGTTTCTGTTGGTTTTGCTGCAATGGCACTCCCCCCACGCCCGAAATAGCAATCATCGGAATGGCATCTTCCAAAACTAAAACCTAGAAAGCCACAATCAACATTCATTCTGTCGGTGGGTTATGATGTTGGCGGAGAACCTCACTGATCAGTGAATGCAACTGTGGCTGGAAGGGACGGCGGATCAGCATATTCATGAAGATTGTCGCATTTCAAGATATTCCTTCCATCTGCTTGATGGAACTGTGTAAGGGTAAAGCAGGAGGTCTTTGCCCATGGAATACATACATTTGCTGTTCAGATTACATGTTGGTTCAAAAATAGTCCTGGATTTTCTGTAGAACTTCATGAATTAAGAGCTGTATGAAGGGGCAGATGAAGCCAAGTTCATTCAGCTTTAAAAACAGGGATTAACCATTGTTAACATCTTTCAGCCATATGTCACTTCATGTAGGGAAAGGCTTGGCAGAGAGAATTGGACTAAAACTTGCTAAGTCCTGTTAGCATAGCTACTCACTATGTTAACTAGGAGATTTGGACAGCTGAAGTTTCAAAAAGGAACTTTTTCAAGCTCTTGACGTGGGGAGGGAGTCCCTAGTCTTCTGTTTGTCATAACAAAGGCAGCTGAGAGCTGCAATAGAATGAAAGAATGTATTAGAGCTGCAATACTTCATAGGCCCCGGAGAACATTC